GGTGAAACCCTGTCTCTACTAAAAACACAAAAAAGTAGCTGGGCATGGTGGCGCTTGCCTGTAATCCCAGCTAGTCAGGAGGCTGAGGCAGGACAATTGCTTGAACCCAGGAGGCGGAGGTTGCGGTGAGCCGAGATCGTGCCATTGCACTCCAGCCTGGGTAACAAGAGCGAAACTCCGTCTCAAAAAAAAAAAAAAAAAAAAAAAAAGAGAACTTGTGCAGACCGGGCATGGTGGCTCGCACCTGTAATCTCAGCACTTTGGGAGGCTGAGGCGGGTGGATCACCTGAGGTCAGGGGTTCAAAACCAGCCTGGCCAACATGGTGAAACCCCCTAATAAAAACATGAAAATTAGCCAGGCATGGTAGCAGGCACCTGTAATCCCAGCTACTCAAGAGGCTGAGGCAGGAGAATTGTTTGAACCAGGGAGGTGGAGGTTACAGTGAGCCAAGACTGCACCATTGCACTCCAGCCTGGGCAACAGAGCAAAACTCCACCTCAAAAAAAAAAAAAAAAAAAAGAAACCTGTGTAGAATGAGGGGAAGCAGTCAGGGGTGAACAAGATGGTCATGAATTGATAATTACTGAAGTTGGGTGGTGGGCTCACAGGGATTTGTTATTCTTCTCTCTACTTTTTTGTGTGTTTGAAAGTTCATAGGCCAGGGCCAGGCACAGTGGCTCAAACCTGTAATCCCAGCACTTTGGGAGGCCGAGGCAGGTGGATCACAAGGTCAAGAGATTGAGACCATCCTGGCCAAAATGGTGAAACCCTGTCTCTACTAAAACTACAAAAATTAGATGGGTGTGGTTGTGCGTGCCTGCGTCCCAACTACCTGGGAGGCTGAAGCAGGAGAATTGCTTGAACCTGGGAGTCAGAGGTTGCAGTGAGCCGAGATTGCACCACTGTACTCCAGGCCGGTGACAGAGCAAGACTGTCTCAAAGAAAAATAAAAAAAGAAAGTTTATAGGCCAGGTGTGGTGGCTCACATCTGTAATCTCAGCACTTTGGGAGGCCGAGGTGGAAGGATCATCTGAGGTCAAGAGTTTGAGACCAGCCTAGCCAACATGGTGAAACCTGTCTCTACTAAAAATACAAAAATTAGGCCAGGCGTGATGGCTCAAGCCTGTAATTCCAGCACTTTGGGAGGCCAAGGCGGGTGGATCACGAGGTCAAGAGATCGAGACCATCCTGGTCAACAAGGTGAAACCTCGTCTCTACTAAAAATACAAAACATTAGCTGGGCATGGTGGCGCGTGCCTGTAATCCCAGCTACTCAGGAGGTTGAGGCAGGAGAATTGCCTAAACCCAGGAGGTGGAGGTTGTGGTGAGCCGAGATCGCGCCATTGCACTCCAGCCTGGGTAACAAGAGTGAAACTCTGTCTCAAAAACAAACAAACAAACAAAAAACACCACAAAAATTAGCTGGATGGTGGCGCAAGCCTGTAAACCCAGCTACTCAGGAGGCTGAAGCATAAAAATCGCTTGAATCCAGGAGTCAGCAATTGTAGTGAGCTGACATCGCACCACTGTACTCCAGCCTGGGTGACAGAGTGAGACGCTGTCTCAAAAAAAAAAAAAAAAAGTTCACAATAAATAATGTCGCTCAAAGGAAGCTATTAATAACGTGAGGTCAGGCAGGGTAAAGAGCATCTCCTAGATTTTTTTTTTTTTTTTGTAGGGATAGGGTCTTGCTTTGTTGCCTAGGCTGGTCTCAAACTCCTGGCTCCAAGGTATCCTCCCACTTCAGCTTCCCAAAGTGCTGGGATAGCAGGCACGAGCCACCACATCCAGCCTCCCTCATCTTTGACTAAGAAGTCTCTTAAATCTGAGAACATCTATCAAGGAATTAAGGCACGGGTGTGGCACTCTTCTGGCTTCAGTCTATCACCAGGCAGAGTCCACGCATTCTTCCCAGGGAGACAGAAACAGAGACAGCTTTTGGGCTTTGAGGGAACTGATTCAGCAGGAGGAAGAAGGTGGAGAGGGGCCAATATGCAGATACCATTGCTGCAGGTGGCTCTGCCCCTTAAGCACTGGGGAGGGTACTGGTCCCTCTGGCCCCCCTCCCAGCCTTCACCCCAAGGTGAAGTACACTTTCTCAGGTCCCCAAGGATGGGTGGCCAAGTCTCCACATTATCTGGCTATGAGGGTTACCTGTCTGACCTTCCCCGCTAAGCGCACCCCACTGCAGCTGAAAGCCACACCCATAACACAGGACTCCTGAGATCTGACACTGGCCAATACACTGGCCAATTCACACCTGCTTGAAGCTGGCATATGAGAGGCCTTCAGGTTGACAACAGCAGACACAAGGTTGCTGTTCAAAGTAGGCCCAAGTCAGGGCTTTGAGCAGCATCATTTGAAAAGTCATGGGGTTGGCAAGGCACGGTGGCTCACGCCTGTAATCCCAGCACTTTGAGAAGCTGAAGCGGGCGGAGCACATGAGGTCAGGAGTTCCAAGACCAGCCTGGCCAACATGGAGAAACCCGGTCTCTACTAAAAGTACGAAAATTAGCCTAGTGTGGTGGCGCGCACCTGTAATCCCAGCTACTTGGGAGGCTGAGGCAGGAGAATCACTTGAACCCAGGAGGCGGAGGTTGCAGTGAGCTGGGATCATGCCACTGCACATCAGCAGCCTGAGCAATAGACTGACTGTCTCAAAAAAAAAAAAAAAAAAAAAAAAAAAAGCCAGTAGGGGCCTGAGGGGGAAAAAAAGCCAGACAGAAAGAAAGAAAAAAGTGCTGGGGGTAGGGGGCTGGGTACAGTGTCTCACATCTGTAATCCCAGCACTTTGGGAGGCTAAGGCAAGCTCTCACGAGGCCAGCCTGGGCAACAAAACAGCATGACCTCATCTCTACAAAACATTTAAAAATTAGCCATGCACTTGAAGTCCTAGCTACTCAGAAGGTTGAGGAAGGAGAATCACTTAAGTCCAGGAGTTTGAGGATACAGTGAGCTATAATCACACAACTTTGCTAGAGGCTGGGTGATTCTCTTAAAAAAAAAAAAAAAAAAAAAGCAGGGGGCGGGGCTAGGAAGGTCCTTCAACACTTCCTACATGCCTTACCCAGGGTGTCTCCCACAATGGCTGGTTACTGCGCTATTTATTTCTTTTTTTTTTTTCCTCTCTCTCTGTTGAGACAGGGTCTCAGTCTGTCACCCAGACTGGAATGCAGTGGTGCGATCTCAGCTCACTACAACCTCTGCCTCCTGGCAGGCTTAAGTGATCTTCCCACCTGAGCCTCCCAAGAAGCTGGAACTACATATGAGTGCCACCATGCCTAGTTAATTTTTGTATTTTTTACCTAGGCTGGTAAACTTCTACCACAGCGCTAAAATTCTACCACTTGGGAACAGTCTTTGGGCCTACATACTGCTTTTTTTTTTTTTTTTTTTTTCTGGAGACAGAGTATCACTCTGTCCCCCAGGCTGGAGTGCAATGGCATAATCTCGGCCCACTGCAACCTCTACCTCCTGGGTTCAAGTGATTGCTGTGCCTCACCCTCCCGAGTAGCTGGGATTATAGGTTCATGCCACTACACCTGGCTAATTTTAGTATTTTTAGTAGAGACAGGGTTTCACCATGTTGGCCAAGCTGGTCTTGAACTCCCGACCTCAGGTGATCCACCAACCTTAGCCTCCCAAAGTGCTGGGATTATAGGTGTGAGCCACCGCACCAGCCCATGTTGCCTTTTTCAGATACTTTTTTCAAAGCTACCCTGGGACAATACATTAAAACTAATACCTGTGCATAAATTGTCAACTGATCTGCTCAGCGTGGGTACCTAACTGGGGTTTAAGGTGGGGGCACAGAGTGCTTTTTAAGATTGGGGGTGAGGGATGGGGAGTGGTACGGACAGCTTGGGTAGGGTCCACTCCTGGTTCCAGGGTGCAGGTTGCCAGATCTGGAGCATGGGATGAAGAGATGTTCAGAGATAGATGTCATTAGGTTGCTTAAAGCCCCTAGGGCAGTGGAGAGAAAAAGCTGTAGCAGCCAAGGCAGGGTGTAGATCCCTAGAGGCAGACAGCTTGGGAGGCACCACAGTGAGCCCCACCTCTGATGGCTCTAGTTCTTGTCCCTTGCAGAGCTCAGAAATGGAGATGGCTCCTGTGCCTTGTCTAGCAATGGCTGCCTGGAAAGAACCCATGAGGATATCCCCAATCCATCCCAATGTGTTTCTGGTGTTATTGTAGCTAATCTCCCCACCAGTGGGTGAGCTCACGGTGGGGGAACCTGGCTGCTGGGAGTGGAAATGCCCTAGAGCCTCCATCCTGTACAGCTGCCCAGTGAACACACCTCCCTCCCCACAATTTCTCAAGGCACAAGATAAAGTAAGGGGCAAATATAAAGATAAATCTGTGAGGCAGAGGGGTCTGGTCTGCCTCTAAAGGAGTAGCCAACGGCTCTCTTTCTCTGCATTTTTTTTTTTTTTTTGAAACAGGTTCTCACTCTGTCACTCACATTGGAGTGCAGTGGCACAATCCTAGCTCACTGCAGCTTCAAACTTCTGGGCTGGAGTGATCCTCCCTCCCCAGCCTCCTGAGTAGCTAGGACAACAGGTGCACCACCACGCCTGGCTAATTTTTTAGAGATGGGGTCCCTGTTGCCCACCAGGCCTAGCCCCTCAACAGTTAATAGTGATAATAAGGGCCAGGCGCGGTGGCTCATGCCTGTAATCCCAGCACTTTGGGAGGCCAAGGTGGGCAGATCACGAGGTCAGGAGATCGAGACCATCCTGGGCCAACATGGTGAAACCCCATCTCTACTAAAAATACAAAAAAAAGTTAGCTGAGCGTGGTGGCACACCTGTAGTCCCAGCTGTTCGGGTGGCTGAAGGAGAATCTCTCAAACCTGGGAGGCAGAGGCTGCAGTGAGCTGCGATCATGCCACTGCACTCCAGCCTGGCAACAGAGTAAGACTCCGTCTCAAAAAAAAAAAAAAAAAAAGTGATAATAACACATATACAATCCTTGGTAAATGCCAGGATTCATCCTAAGATCTACATTGATAAACTTCAATCCTCACAGCACTGGGAAATACATATAGATACTGATCATTTTACAGGTGAGAAAACTAAAGCACAGAGAGATGAATCCCTTGCCCAAGCTTGCAGAGCTGGTGAGAGGCAGCGTGGGATGAGGCCTCGGGTGCCTGTATGCAGAGCCGCACCACTGGCCCCTATGCACTCCTCTCCTCATGCTCTCAGCTCTACCAGCTCGGATAGGAGAGAGGTGGGGAAGCAGTTAGTGGTCATCTGCTCTGGGCTAGGCACTTGGCAAATACCTGTAGGTTTCAATGTCAGAAGAACCCAGTGAAGAATGAGCCAGATACTCACTGTCCACATGGAGAAGCAAGCCCAGAAGTCTGACATCCACCAAGGCCACGCAGCCCAGGAAGTGGGGAGCTGAAATCCAAACCTCTGCCTGAGCTCTGCCCGCCAGGTGTCTCCTCCCCAGCCCATGTAGGGCGCTGAAGAGAAGGGAGGCAGAGGGGAGGGAAAGCGGAGGCTGGAGAGGAACTTCAGAGGTCTTCCTCAGACCTGGCAGCTGCCCCTGGCTTCCCTGAGATCCCAGGAACCTCCAGACCTTCCCAGGATTGCCCAGAAGGGAAGGGGGCCCAGTGGGGCAGGAACCCAAGGCATTCGGGCCCCTGGAGAGCAGCTACCCTGCCACTCCTGCCTGCCTGAGTGCAACGGTCTGGAATCCAGGTCTTGTGGGGTCGTCCACACACCACACACCTACCCTGAGGCCTTAGGGGACCAGTGCAACAGGAGAAGCATTCCCAGCTCCCATGTGCTCCAGTGGCTCCCCCTGATCCACCTGCGCCAACAGGGCTGAGGCCTGGATGGGGAAGCTCCTCTGGAGGACATGGGTGATAACCTGGATTGCTGGTGGAGGTCTGGAGCATCGAGGGCAGCCCAGGTCCCAGAAAGCCAAGGATAGGGATGCACAGAGGGCACAGTGGGGATGGAGATGCTGCTCTCAGGACTTGGTTTGGCCAAGGCACATCCTGCTGCCAGGCTTGCAGGCCCTTAGCTCCCCTCTGACATAGCTTCCACCATCCCTAAGAAAGCGATAAGGGGCTTCAGGGAGCGGCCAGGTATACTGCAGGAACGGAGCAGATGGGTGGTGGGAAGGGCCCAGGGCTGCACTAGAGCTGGCGCCGCTGGTACAGCACTGCCAGGAGTATGGCTGCCAGCACCCCTGCCACAGCTGCCTGGAGCCACGGAGACCCGAGCGAGGACCAGTGGCATGGCACCTCCTTGTCCTGGAACTTCTGGTTGGTGTGTGGCCTGGGGCCACCCTCCAGGTCCGCAGGTGGCCCAGGGTTGCCCTCCAGGAGCTGGATGCTGGGGTTCTCAGCCACGTGGATCCCAAAGGTGCCCTCGGACTTGTACTCATTCTCCTCTGGGCCATGGCAGGGCCCCACGCCCAAGGAGCTGCTGGCACTGATGGCAAGATCCTCAGAGCAGCCCGAGAATAGGCTGTCTACCCGGGATACCAGCATGCCAGGCTTGCTCAACTCCGACCCAAGGCCCCCATTCTCAGAGCTATCGTCTAGCCAGGCTGAGCTGCCTCCAGTGGCACCTGCGGGTGTTGGAGCTGCTGGGTTCTCCTGGGAAAGAAAGGAAAGCACTGGAAGGGACTGGGGGTTCGCAGGGGGACAAGCCTGCTAGGCTGGTCTCATTCCTAGCCAGGGCATGAATTAATACTCCAACCGCTCAATTCCCAGTCTATAATACCCCTAGGTCACCTTTTCTTGGAGCAGGGGGGAAGAGGGGACCAAGGCCCTGCACCCATGGTGGCATCCTCCAGGGCAGCCTCTCCCTACTCCCTGGCCTGCCTATAAACTCATGCCCACCTGGAAGCGGGGCCCCATCCTGCACTGACATCCTGCCTGGGCCTGAGAACCAGAGAGCAGCCACACGGTCAGAGGCCTGGCCATGCGCCCAAAGGGCCCTCTGGACTAGGTTCCTCCCAGCAGCAGCTAGGGTTAGATGTGAGGCTTGGAGCAGGTAGCAATGGGGGGCTGCTGGGTCAGAGTGGCTGCTCCAGGCTGGGATTGCGTTCTGTAAAACCTGGCCATGGAAGGGCAGGCTGGGCATCCTGATGGTAAAGAGCAAGGCACGAGGCAGATGGGCCACTGCACTCTCTCCCTCACTGCTTCCTCATGTGCAAAACAGCACTGCTCAGCTTCACTAGGAGCTACAAACCCTAAATGAACTGATGCATCTGACCAGTGGGGTGACCCCGTGGCTGACCCTCCTGAGGTGTCCAGACTTAGGAGCTGTAATGACTGTTCCTCCTGGAGCACATGTTGTGGGCCTGGATGAGGCTGGTTCTCAGCTGTCCGTATGCCCACAAGGAGAGGCCACAGAGCAGCCCAGGATGGAGACAGAATGCAGACTGGGAAGGGGCCAAGGCCAGGGCCGGGTGGGCAAGCTCTCCCAGGGGAAGGGGCCTGGATCCCTGCTAGGAGGGTGAGGACTCACCTTAGCTCTGCTGCTCCTGCCGGTGGGAACTGTGCTGGCATTCCCTGTGGTGAGCACCATGCTAGTGGGCACTTTGGATGGCACCATGCCAGCATGAGTTGAGTTGATGGGCAATTTGGATGGTGCTGGATTGGTGAGCACATTAGAAGGCACTGCACCAGGGGGCTTCGAAACAGGTGGCAACTTGGAGGGCACTGTGCTGGCAGATGCTGGGTTGGCAGGCACTTCCGGGGGTACTGTGTTCACAGGCATCAAGGTGGTAGGCACTTTGGAGGGCAGAGAGTTGGCAGGTGCCTCTGCCCCGCTGGAGCAGATGATAGGCTCGGGCTGGTCACCCTCTTCAGCCCCTGCAGAGGCCAAGCCAGGGGATGAGGAAGAGGAGAAGGTACCAGTAGAAACTGACCCTGCAGGTCCTGGCAAGCGGCTTGCCCTGGGGGTGGATCGGACCAGAGGCTGGAAGGAGACAGATGGAGACACAGGCCCACGGGATGGTGGGAGGCTGGAGGTTGCAGCTGCAGGTGGTAAAACACAAGTGGAAACACAGACTCAAAGACTGTTACCTTTAGGCCTGGAGAAGGGTCCCTCTGTGCCAGGTCTCATGGTCCCTACTGTGTCTAGGTCTCCAAATCTCCTGCCTTTGGAGGAGATGCCATAGTTCCTTTGGTCACTGCTTCCCAGCCTGAAAGCCCAACAGCTGCCCTCAGTCCTTGACCTGTAGCCCCAGGTCTACCCTGGCACACAGTGAAATGGTACCTTGGAGCTTGAAGATCATTATTTATTATTCTCTCTGCTTTTTCCTCTCCCACCTGGGAAGCCTCCCCTCTCCTCCTGTGTCTGCCTTTTCTACCTTGACCTTAGCCTCATGGAATCCTGGACACTTTCCCCGCTGCTGTCCCTCCTCCAGCACCACGAGTGGGAACAGCCCTGGATCAGGGTGAGGGTGACAGGATGGCTCATGCAGAACAGCTCAGACCAGCCGAGAGGCCCAGCCATCCCAGAGGCTTGGGAAGAGTGGGGACAGGGACAAAGCCACCCCTGGGAGGTTGCCTGACCTGGGTTGGGAAAGCAGGGAGGGGGTAGCAGGTGGTGATGGTCTATAAAGGCAGTTGTAGCAGGGTTCTCCATGGAACTTGGAATGCACATGCCAGGCCCCACAGCTGGCAAAGGTCAAGGTGATTTCGATGTACACCACCCCCCCACCACAATCTCACACCATACACAGGACCTGTGTCTACAAATGTACCGAAACCTAATCGCCCTCTGTCTCCATGGTCTACAGCAACTCCCAAAAGTCATCCCATGGCCAGGTAACACTGCAAAGCAGAGACAGGTGCTTGGAGCAGTTTGGGGATGACGAAAGTACTGAGATGACGTCTCTCAGCCTTTAATTGCTCATGTGCCTTGTGGCTGTCCCAGGGCACTGAGGGCTGACAGGGTACCAGCGTCAGTTTGGAAAGCAGGAGAGAGACATGCTAGCCTGAGAGGTCCAGGTGGACAATTATATATTTCTGAGGGGAGCACTGAGGTCTGGAGTGGGGTCCAGGCCCCTGGATGATGACCTTACTTCCTCTGGGGACTGAGAAGTTTTCGGGATTCACTAGGAACTGAGATCTCTTTGTGGTAAGGCAGTGCCTAAAGACCTCCCTGCCAATAGCTGGTGCAGCCCTGCTCTGTCCCTCTCCCACCGCCCTCCAGGCCCTGGCTGCTCCCTACAGTCTCTTTGACAGAGTGCAAAAACGGCCCTACTTATCTCGCCCACCTCCACCCAGCCCCTCTGCACTGTGCCAGTCAGCCTTCCCGTCTAGGGAGGGAGTCTATTTCCTTACTCCTTGAATCTAGGCTGGCCTTATAACTTGTTTTTGCCCACAGAATAAGGCACTGGAACATTGTGCTAGTTTTGAGCTCTCTCTTATCTCTCTCAGAACTCCACCCAGCAGCCATGATGGATTTGTGTGCTGGAGGATGAGAGACTACAAAGAAGAGAACCAAGATACTCAGCCAATAGTCAGAGGCAGAACTTACATATATACAAGTGAGTACTTGAGAGGAAATTCAGCCAAGACCGGAAGAACTGCCCAGGTAGGTGGCCCAAATGGCTGACCCACAGGATCATGTGCTAAATAAATGGCTGCATTTTAAGCTACTAAAAAAAAACAAAAATTGGAAAACTAGAGTGGACTATTTGTTACACAGCAAATGCTAACTGATACACCCTATAAGGAACTGGTTTGCTTCCTGGGTTGATCTCCCTTTATTCCCACCTTGCCTCCTATTCAAGGAAGCCAGAGGGGCAACTCTAATTCTCACCTTCACTTGAGAGATCAGAGGGGCCCTACAATTCCAGATTCCATGCATACCTGCTGTGTGGGTACTGCCCAGTTCTGTGTCCTGCTCCTGATGCCCACTGGAGGTCAGAGGACTAAGGGCTGCCAGGTCAGAGGAGGGCTCCACAGGACCACCACCCGGCCTCCTTGGGATGGCTCTGGGGCTGAGCGTCTGCGGGGCTTGCTCTGAACTCTGCAAGAGGAAAAATATGAATAAGGCAGTTGCCTCTCCCAAGAGCTCGCAAAGGGCAGCTTGTGCTTTTGGGGCGTCTCCTACAGACCTCAGCCCACACCATGAAGCACAGGAGCCAGGAAGCCCTTGCTTGGGTTCTGGTAATTGCCAGACTCTCTGTCCACAGGTGTCCTTGCATTTACCTCACAGAAAATGCACAGCATCCCTGGGGCACTCCCTGTCCATCTGTGTGGCCCTGCAGAAAGGTCTCCCTCTCGACAGCCACTAGCTTTCTCCTCATGGCTGTCACTGCTAGCTGATCCCTGCCCTGATGTTGCCTCCTCTGCCCCTCCCCTTTCCCACCTCCATTCATCCCACCCCTACTACAACCACTGTGTTCAGGGGATCACAGACCCCTCTTAGGCTTCAGGTTCATGGTTTGGTATCTCCTGGACACCCCACTGCCCACTCATTTATCTTCATAGAATCGGTCGTCTTTCCCCCAAACTCGACCTTTTGGCAATAATGACAGCCCCACCAATCACCCCTGCCCTCATAATCACCTGCTCCCTCACTCTCCCTCATCTGGCCCCTCCCTGGGTTCCTCCACCCAATGCAACGTCTCATATGGAATATTGCAAAGACCTCAAAACTGTGGTCTCCAGCCAGGGGCAGTGGCTCACCCTGGTAATCCCATCACTTTGGGAGGCCAAGGTGGGCAGATCATCTGAGGTCAGGAGTTTGAGATCAGCCTGGCTGACATTGCAAAACACCATCTCTACTAAAAATACAAAAATTAGCCAGCATCGTGGTGGGTGCCTGTAATCCCAGCTACTCGGGAGGCTGAGGAAGCAGAATCACTTGAACCCAGGAAGTGGAGGTTGCAGTGAGTTGAGATCGCTCCACTGCACTCCAGCCTGGGCGACAGAATGAGACACTGTCTCAAAACAAACAAACAAACAAACAAACAAACAAACAAACAAAAAACCCTGTCATCTCCCAGCTTGTTGGTGACAGAGGATTAGACTGCCACACAGTGAAGACCTGGTCAGCAGTCTGGAAGCTGGTCTGGGGCAGATCTCCACTAAGAAAGCCTTGGGTTTCTGAGCAGAGATTAGGCGTAATTTATAGTGGACAGGAGAGGGTTTCTGGAGGAAGGCTCATGGGCAGAAGTGGGCAGACAGGAACACAAAAGCAGGTGGCTCAAGGTGGACTGTGAGGACAGACCTCTTCCAGGGACTGTGGCGGCTGGGACTCCTGGACAGGCATGGGGTAGCTTGGCTCCTTCTCTCTGTAGCCATTGTAGGGGATGCTGTGGGCCGCAGCAGGCGTGGAGGGTCCTGGCACCTCAGCAGAAACTGACGGTGGCTCCAGTGGGGCTGGGGGATGTTCCGGGGTCCCTGGAGGACAAAGATGCAGTGATATCAAGAAGGAATCAAGGGCTGGGTGCCATGGCTTACGCCTGTAATCCCAGCACTTTGGGAGGCCAAGGTGGGTAGATTGGGAAGTCAGGAGTTTGAGACCAGCCTAGCCAACATGGTAAAACCTCCTGTCTACTAAAAATACAAAAATTAGTGGGGCATGGTGGCACGCCCCTGTAATCCAGCTACTTGGGAGGCTAAGGCAGAACTGCTTGAAGCTGGGAGGCAGAGGCTGCAGTGAGCTGAGATTGCGCCACTGTACTCCAACCTGGGCAACAGAGCAAGACTCCACCTTGGGGATGGGGGCAGGGTGGAAAGAAGGAATCAGGAACTACAGGGAGGCTGGGGCAGGACAACCATTTGAAGCTGGGAGACAGAGGCTGCAGTGAGCTAAAGTCACACCACTACACTCTAGCCTAGGTGACTGACTGAGACAGTCTCAAAAAAAAGAGAAGGAATCAGAGATATTCCTCATGATGGAAGATTCTTGGGTACTCTTGGGTACACCCCCTGCCCCACCCATAGTTCCAAAAGCTGTTCTGATGTGGGTCCACTCCTCAGAGTGACAAGCATCACTGGCAAGGGGGCAGGAGTGGGAAGGAGAGAGCAGTTGGAGGACAAGGGAGCAAGGCGGCAGGGGGACAGTGTGCGGGAGGCATCATGGGTCTCTCAACACCCAGACCACGTAAGCGGTCACCCTCCTTTGTCCCCAGACATCCTGGGACCCAGTGGCTTTCTCCTCCGCGTGGCTGCCATTGCTCACTGACCCCTGCCCTGATGCTGCCACCTCAGCCCCTCCCCTTTGCCTCCACCACCCATCAGGCCCTTCCACAGCCATTGTATTCAGGGGATCACTATTAATAATCTCCATACATGAAGAGACATATTTAAAAAGAAGGAGAGAAAAGAAGGAAGAAGGAGAGGAAGGGAAGAAGAAAGGGGGGGAAGCAAGGAAAAGAAAAAGGAAAGAAAAGCAAACATGAGAGCCAGACACGGTGGCTGACACCTATGATCCCAGCACTCTTGGAGGCCGATCACTTGAGCCCAGGAGTTCAAGACCAGCTTGGGCAACATAGTGAGACCTGGTCCCTACAAAAAAATTCTGAAAATTAGCCAAGTGTGGTGGCACATGCCTGTAGTCCCAGCTACTCTGGAGGCTGAGGTGGAAGGATTGCTTGAGCCCAGGAAGTCAAGGTGGAAGTGAGCTATGATTGCACCACTGCTCTCCAGCCTGACAGAGCAAGACTCTGTCTCTAAAAGGGGGAAAAAGAGAGAGAGAAAGAAAAGAAAAACATGGATTTCCCACAGTTATAAATGTGACTGGGGCTGGGTGTAGTGGCTCAGGCCTGTAACCCCAGCACTTTGGGAGGCCGAGGCAGGTGGATCATCTGAGGTCACAAGTTCAAGACTAGCCTGGCCAACATGGTGAAACCCTATCTCTACAAAAATATAAAAATTAGCTGGGCATGATGGCGGGTGCCTGTAATCCCAGTGACTCAGTAGGCTGAGGCAGGAGAATCGCTTAAACTTGGGAGACAGAGTTATAGAGAGCTGAGATCATGCCACTGCACTCCAGCCTGGGCAACGGAGCAAGACTCCATCTCTCTTTTTTTTTTTTTTTGAGACGGAATTTTGCTCTTGTTACCCAGGCTGGAGTGCAATGGCGCAATTTCGGCTCACCGCAACCTCCGCCTCCTTGGTTCAGGCAATTCTCCTGCCTCAGCCTCCTGAGTAGCTGGGATTACAGGCATGTGCCACCATGCCCAGCTGATTTTTTGTATTTTTAGTAGAGACGGGGTTTCACCATGTTGACCAGGATGGTCTCGATCTCTTAACCTCGTGATCCACCCGCCTCAGCCTCCCAAAGTGCTGGGATTACAGGCTTGAGCCACTGCGCCCGGCAAGACTCCATCTCAAAAAAAAAAAAAAAAAAAAAAAAATATGGTCAGGGTCTTAAGGGTTACCTCTAGTTTGAAATATAAATAGAACTGGCTTGCTTTTTCTTCCCGTGTCTTGATTTACTCGAGATCAGATTCCATCTCACCAAATCCCCTCTGAGCACTGAGAATGGCCGGGACATTGAGAGGGACTAAAGGAATAACTGGGCAGTTGGTAGAGGGAACAGCAGGCTCTCAGAGTAAACCAGGGGAGGGGAAGAGAAAGTGGAGAGAGGGTGGGTGAACAAGTAGGTTGGGAAGAAGAAATGAGGAAGGGTGGGAGGCAATCACTACAGCCGTGAAAATTAGAGGAGACCCCATGTGCTGGGCATACAGGAAGTGCGAAGCCTAGGTCAGCACTCAACACACATCTTCCCATGGTGTTACCCACTGCAGCTCCCCTTGGCAGGTGCTGCCATGAGCTCCATTTTACACAGGGGAGGCCTGAGGCTCAGGGAAATTTAAGGGCTTGGCCAAAGGGACACAGCTAGTAAGTGGTTCAGCCTGGATCTACACCCAGGTTTATCCGCTACTTCAGTGTGACAAGGAGGATGACAGAGAAAGGCAGGAGGTACAGAGAGAGGGGAAGGGAAAGCAGAGGCCAAGGAGCAGACCGGGGGTCCAGAAGGAGAGACAAAACAGGATGCTCACGAGGCTGGTAGCTCTGGTAGACACGGGCCACTTCGTCCGCGAGATCAGACAGCTCACAGGCCCTCAGCGCCACAATGAAGGACTCCACCCAGCCAGGTCGCCGCTGAAGGGTATTGAAGAGATGCCAGAGGGTGTCCCGGTTCCCTGAGAGTGTGCAAGTGGCCCGCAGTCGATCCTGGAAGATACAGTGCCACTGTCCTGCTCAAGCCAGGCAGCCCCAGCCACTTCCCTACACAGAATGAAGCCACAGCGGTGGTGGTGGTGGTGGTAGCGGTGGTGGTGGTGGTGGTGGTGGTGGGGGCGCCAAGAAAGCCACAAGAGCAAGGCGGCCACGTGAAACTGAATCAGAGCCCAGGACAAGGCCAGGTATGGAATGAGGAAGAGCAATTAGCAGCAATAGCTGCTAAAGAAACTGGCAGCCGCCAGAAACTAGCAGTTACTATTTCCTGAGCTCTCCATTAAGGGCTTTGCATGCATCATCTTGTTTAATGCCATTATTATTCCCACTTTACTTAGCAGAAGCAAAGTACTATAGCAAACATCCTACGACAGTGGGGCAGGAATCCAAAGCCAATTAATCTGATACAAAAGCGTTGGGTTTATGTGGCCCCCAGGGCAAAAAGAAAGCTTTGGATTAGGAAAAAAGGAAAAGGTAGACAGCAAAAGTATGATGAAGGGGTGAAAGAAGGAAAGAGAGGGGGCCAATAATAAGAAACAAGGAAGCTGAGAATGCTGGGGAGATTCTGGGCAGATGACAGTGGCTGCAGTTTTTTTTGGGGGGGTTTCCTTTTTTTTTTTTTCTTTTTTCTTTCTTAGTGCATCTATGTGGACAAGGTTTCCTTTTTTTTTTTTGAGACAGAGTCCTGTTCTGTCGCTCAGGGTGGAGTGCAGTGGTGCAATCTCAGCTCGCTGCAACCTCTGCCTCCCAGGTTCAAGCAATTCTGCCTCAGCCTCCCACGTAGCTAGAATTACAGGAGCCCACCACCACACCCAGCTAAATTTTTTGTATTTTTGGTAGAGACGTGGTTTTGCCACATTGGCCAGGCTGGTCTTGAACTCCTGACCTCAGGTGATCCACCCGCCTCGGCCTCCCAAAGTGCTAGGATTACAGGCGTGAGCTACTGCATAATCCAGAGTTGTTTTTTTTTTTTTTTTTTTTTTTGAGACGGAGTTTCGCTCTTGTTACCCAGGCTGGAGTGCAATGGCATGATCTCGGCTCACCGCAACCTCCGCCTCCCGGGTTCAGGCAATTCTCCTGCCTCAGCCTCCTGAGTAGCTGGGATTACAGGCACGTGCCACCATGCCCAGCTAATTTTTTGTATTTTAAGTAGAGACGGGGTTTCACCATGTCGACCAGATTGGTCTCGATCTCTCGACCTTGTGATTCACCCGCCTCGGCCTCCCAAAGTGCTGGGATTACAGGCTTGAGCCACCGCGCCCGGCCAGAGTTTTTATGTCTACCTGAATTCCCACATAAAAACAACCAGATAGCAGAAACAAAAACCCACAGAATCCTGCAGGAGCTAGATTTTAGAAGAAGGAAAATATTTTTTAAATAAAAAAATAGGTGGAGCACAGTGGCTCATGCCTGTGATCCCAGCAGGGAGGGGAGGCTGAGGCAGGAGGATGAGGCTGAAGGGAGGCTGAGGCAGGAGGATCACTTGAGCCTGCAAGGTGGAGGTTGCAGTGAGCCAAGATAGTGTCACTGCACTCCAATGTGTTTGACAGAGTGACAACCCATCTCAAAGCATGCGTGTGTTTGTCACACGTATACTGCTGTAGTGGCTCATACCAGTAATCCCAGCACTTTGGGAGGCCAAGGCGGGAGGATTGCTTAAGCCCAGAAGTTTGAAACCAAAGAAAAATACAAAAATTAGCTGGGTATGGGGTGTACACCTGCAGTCCCAGCTACTTGGGAGCTGAGGTGGGAGGATCAGTTAAGCCCAGGAGTTTGAGGCTGCAGTGAGCCATGATCGCAACACCACTACACTCTAGCCTGGGCACCACAGTGAGACCCAGTCAATAAATAAACTAAACTAAACTAAAATAAAGAAAACCCACAGGCCAGGTGTGGTGGTTTATGCCTGTGTAATCCCAGCACTTTGGGAAGCCAAGGCAGGAGGATCACTTGAGCTCAGAAGCTTGACAGCCTGGGCAACATAGTGAAACCCCCTTCTTTCAAAAAAAGTTAAAAATGTAAAAAACATATAGCTTCTAGGGCAAAAAAAAAAAAAATATATATATATATATATCTACACACACACACACACACACACACACACACACATATATATATAGTCTGGGCATGTTGACTCGCACCTGTAATCTCAGCACTTTGGGATGCTGAGGTGGGAGGAGCTCGACTCCATGAGGCATAGGTTGCAATGAGTTAAAAATCGTGCCACTGCACTCCAGCCTGAGTGATAAAGCAAGACCCTGTCTCGAAAATAAAAATAAAAACCAGCCTGGCCAACATGGTGAAACCCCGTCTCTACTAAAAATAAAAATACAAAAATTAGCCAGGCATGGTGGCACATGGCTGTGACCCCAGCTACTCAGGAGGCTGAGGTGCAAGAATCACTTGAACCTGAGAGGTGGGGATTGCAGTGAGCTGAGATTGCACCATTGCACTGCAGCCTGGGCAACAGAGCGAGACTCCATCTCAAAAAAAATATTAAAAAAACAAAATCAAAACCACAGAAAATATTTACTACAAAACAAGATATCCCTATAATCCCCAAAATACAAGAGGGAGGGGCAAACCCCAAACAGACCTGCATACTGATGCAATCTGTGTGGAGGATGCAGGAGACAGCAATAGGGCTCCTGAGAAACCTGAGGACAGGAGTCCCCAAAAGAGCCAACAGGTTCCCTCCGGAGCACAGGGGTCCAATCTGAGAACAGCAGCTACAATGAATGGGGAGAGACTGTGCCTGCTTCACCAGCTAGCAAGTGCCGGGGCTAGAGTCACCTGGCTCCTGCCAGCTCTCAAACCTGAGTCCCAGCTCCCTGCCAGGACAGGGCCCCATGACAAGGAGAATGGAATCAAAACTGAGCAGGGCAAAGCATGGCAAGAGACATGAAGGAAACAGAAGGTTCTAAAAACATTAGGCAAGGGGACCAGAGCCAGGAAATCTCAGGAGAGCCAGCAGCATATTTCTGAGCAGTTCACAAAAGCAACACAAGGGGGAGCTCGATGAAGTCAGCAAAGCCACCCCGAGCCACATTTCATCCAAAAGTTAGAAAAGCAGCAAGAGAAAAAAAAGCAGCAAGGACAAGGAGCAAGACATAGCAAGAGGGAGAAGGAGCCGGCTCTGGCTTGGGGAAGGAACTAGGATGGGGTTGAGCTTTGGATTCCACAGCCCTGTCCCCAGGCCAGTGTCTGGCTGTCACTTCCCTGGCTCACCTGGTCTCTTGCTGTGAGGCAGGGCAGGTAAGGCAGAATCTCTACAACATCCACATTGCAAAAATTGCTGAAATGTCTGCAGATATACTTATAGGTTTTGTCTTCAGCAAACGGCATTGCTGCTCAGATTCTGGAGAGAGGGCTCTGGCCCCATGAAGGGTGAATGGACTGACAGGAAACGACACTGGAAGAAAACAGATCACATATTACACACGGTTGGGAGTGGGGCTGGACAAAAGGCAATTATTTCTCAACTTCTTGGAATTTTTGTTTTCTTTCATCTTTAAATCTTTTTCTTTTCTTTTTTTTTTTTGAGACAGTGTCACCCAGGTTGGAGTGCAGTGGTGCAATCTCAGCTCAATGCAACCTCTGCTTCCTGAGTTCAATTGTGTCTCCTGCCTCAGCCTCCCAAGTAGCTGAGATTACAGGCATGCACCACCATGCCCATCTAATTTTTGTATTTTTAGTAGAGATGTGGGTTTATCATGTTGGCTAGGCTGGTCACAAACTCCTGACCTCAAGTAATCTACCCACCTTGGTCTCCCAAGATTTGAGATTACAGGTGTGAACCACCATGCCCACCTTTTTTGTGGTTGTTGTTGTTAAGAGATGGGGTCTCACTCTGTTACCCCGGTTGGGTGCAGTGGTGCAATCATAGCTCAGTGCAGCCTCAAACTCCTGTGTTCAAGCAATCCTGCCGCTTCAGCATCCTAGGTAGCTGGAACTACAGACTTGTGCCACTACACCCAGCTAATTTTTAAAATTTTTCTAGAGACAGGGTCTTGTGATGTTGCCCAGTCTGGTCTCAAACTCCTGGCCTCAAGTGATCCTCCTGCCTCAGCCTGGCAGGTAGCTTGGATTGTAAGTGCCAGCCACTGTGCTCAGCCATCTTTAGTTTCTTTAAACATCCTATTTTTTACTGCCTGGGTCTCTCCAAGGTTCCTGCAGAATTTGCTAAAAATGAATTGATGACCAGCAGCTACTAGAGAAGCTAGGGCAGGAGGATCTCTTGAGCCCAGGTGTTTGAGGCCAGCCTGGGCAACACGGCGAGACCCCATCTCTAAAAAAATAAAAATAAAAATAATTGATGACCAAAAAGAATCAGATCCAGAATACCTAGGGCCCATTTCTCTCCTGTAGGTTGGTCAGCATTGGGGAGGTCTGCATGTACTCCTAGCACATATGGTAGAGGGATCTGTATGTAACCGTAGTTTCGGTGCCTAAGAATGTCCTGGCTCTCCTTCTGGCTCTAAAGGCCCTCAAGCTGATAAGCAAGAGGCCTGTACCTAAAAGTGCTGCTGCTTTGGGACATACTGAAAAAATTAAAAGTGAAGCCCAACATGATAATAATAGGATCATCCTACTTTAAAGAAGAAAATGAGGTATGCTTGCTAGTTAGTAGAAGAGCAAAGAACTGAGATTCTAACTGAGATCTTCAGGTCATCTTCTTTCTATGACATGGCTGCAGGCCTGCTTTAAAGCCTGCTACACATACATTCTCTCTTTTTTTTTTGAGACAGAGTTTCACTCTTGTTGCCCAGGCTGGAGTGCAATGGTGCAATCTCAGCTCACCACAATCTCTGCCTTCTGGGTTCAAGAGATTCTCCTGCCTCAGCCTCCCAAGTAGCTGGGATTACAGGCATGTGCCACCATGCTAGGCTAATTTTGTATTTTTAGTAGAGATGGGATTTCTCCATGTTGGTCACGCTAGTCTCAAACTCCAGACTTCAGGTGATCCACTCACCTCGGCCTCCCAAAGTGCTGGGATTACAGGCATGAGCCACCGCGCCTGGCCCACACACATTCTTAAGATGGGAGACTGAGTTCCATGCCTTGAATTCACTGTGTGTCTTGGGCAAGTTACCAGTTTCCAGACTTTTCCTCACCCTTAAAATGGCTCAGATAGTTTGTTTTGACAGTACAGTAATTCAGCCTTATTAAGTCTATTTTTTTTTTTGGAGACAGAGTCTCCCTCTATCATCCAGGCTGGAGTACAGTGGTGTGATCTCGGCTCACTGCAGCCTCCACCTCCCAGGTTCAAGCAATTTTCCTGCCTCAGCCTCCCAAGTAGCTGGGATTACAGGAGCCCACGATCATACCTGGCTAACTTTTTTGTTTGTTGTTGTGAGTCACCGTGCCTGGCCAACTTTTGTATTTTTTAGTAGAGACGGGTTTCACTATGTTTTCCAGATTGGTCTCGAACTCCTGAGCTCAAGTGATCTGCTTGCCTTGGCCTTCCGAAGTGCTGGGATTACAGGTGTGAGCCACTGTGGCCAGCCTAAGTTTAAAATTTTTAAGTGCCAGCTGGGTGTGGTGGCTCACACCTGTAATCCTAGCACTTTGGGAGGCCAAGGCAGATGGATCACCTGAGGTCAGGAGTTTGAGACCAGCCTGGCCAACATAGAGAAACCCCATCTCTACTAAAAATACAAAAAAATAAACTGGGCATTGTGGTGGTCGCCTGCAATCCCAGCTACTCAGGAGGCTGAGGCAAGAAAATCACTTAAAGCTGAGAGTCGGAGGTCGCAGTGAGCCAAGATCGCGCCATTGCACTTCAGCCTGGGCAACAGAATGGGGCTCTGTCTTAAAAAAAAAAAAAAAAAAAATTTAAGTGCCTCAAATATAAGCAATTGCTACCAGTTGTTTATGTAGGAGTTACCACAATTTGCAATTATAGATGTTTTTGCTTGTTTCTTTTTTGCCTCCCCTATCAGGGAGTGCTGCAGGGAATAAAAGAGACAAGGTCTGTGCCACATCCAATTTATATTCTACTGGTGTGGGACAAATAGTAGATCAGTAAATTCTTACCCAAATAAGAATTCCAGCCGGGCGCGGTGGCTCAAGCCTGTAATCCCAGCACTTTGGGAGGCCGAGGCGGGTGGATCACGAGGTCAAGAGATCGAAACCATCCTGGTCAACATGGTGAAACCCCGTCTCTACTAAAAATACTAAAAATTAGCTGGGCATGGTGGCGTGTGCCTGTAATCCCAGCTACTCAGGAGGCTGAGGCAGGAGAATTGCCTGAACCCAGGAGGCGGAGGTTACAGTGAGCTGAGATTGCGCCATTGCACTCCAACCTGGGCAACAAGAGCGAAACTCCGTCTCAAATAAAAAAAAAAAAAAAAAGCCGGGCGCGGTGGCTCAAGCCTGTAATCCCAGCACTTTGGGAGGCCGAGGCGGGTGGATCACGAGGTCAAGAGATCGAGACCATCCTGGTCAACATGGTGAAACCCCGTCTCTACTAAAAAAAATACAAAAAAAATTAGCTGGGCGTGGTGGCGCACGCCTGTAATCCCAGCTACTCAGGAGGCTGAGGCAGGAGAATTGCCTGAACCCAGGAGGCGGAGGTTGCGGTGAGCCGAGATGGCGCCATTGCACTCCAGCCTGGGTAACAAGAGTGAAACTCCGTCTCAAAAAAAAAAAAAAAGAATTCCAGATAGCAATAAAGATTCTAAAGAAAATAAAGCAGGTAAAGAGACACAGTCCCTGGAGACAGGCATGCTACTTGAACTAGGGGGTCAAAGAAGCCTTTCTGAACTAGTGTTAAGAACACAGGTGACAGTTCTCAGGCTCTGAGAACATTGGTGTTTTTGGCAGAGGGCATGGTAAATGCAAAAGTCCTAAAATGGGATGAGCTTGGCATGTTTGAAGAATAGAAAGCAGGTCAGTGTGGTCAAGGTTAAGAAAGCTAGGGAGAGGGGCAGAGATGAAGGTCAAGGAGGTGAAAGGGACTACTCATGTAGGGTGCTGTAGGAAAGGACTCTGAGTTTTAGTTGGAGTGAAACAGGGACCCACTGGAAGGTTCTGGCAGAGAAAGAAGATCTGATTTACATTAAAAACTTCTCTGACAATTGTGAGGACTTTGGAGGGGCCAGGATGAAAACTGGGACACCAGTCAGGAGGCCACAGCCCAGGAGACAGGATGATTATGGCCAGGATGGGAACCACAGAGTTGGCAGGAGGCAGCCAGATTCCTGGTGTTTTGAGGGTGTAGGAGATAAGGGAGAGAAAAGAATCAAGGATGACTGCTTAGGCACTGGGTAGATGGCAGGTGCCCTTTTACCAGACCAGAGAAGCCAGGGGAGGAGGAGTGGCTCAGAAGGAACTCCAGAACTCAGTTCTGAACAAGTGAAGCTCGAGCTATTGGATTCCTAGTGGGCTGTCAGGGAGGGAAAGAGGCAGAAGAGGACCAAGTGGGCATCAGGCAAGCATGAGACCTCTAGGAAGCAGTGCTGCAGAGCCAACAGCACCTAAAAGCTGCTGGGCCACCAAACCCTCCTCACAGGGGAAACAGTCTTGTCACTGGCCTCAGAGTCTCACATTCACAACTTGCTTTGCCACCACCAGGCGCTGCTGCACTCCTTGTGGGCCAAGTGCAAATGACAGTTCAGGAGGATTAGGAAGGTGAAGTAGGGGTCCTCTGAGCCTTCAAGAAATGAGCAAAGTGCTGGGTGTGGTGGCTCACGCCTGTAACTTCAGCACTTTGGGAGGCCGAGGCAGGAGAATCACTTGAATCCGGGAAGTGGAGGTTGCGGTGAGCCAAGATCATGCACTGCACTCCAGCTGGGGACAGAGCGAGACTCTGTCTCAGAAAAAAAAAAAAAAAAAAAAAAGCAAAACCTAACTCCGTGGCAGGTGGCAGTTAATAGACCACTTTCTCGGCCAGGCATGGTGGCTCATGCCTGTAATCCCAGCACTTTGGGATGCCAAGGCAGGCACATCACTTGAGGTCAGGAGTTCGAGACCAGCCTGGCCAACATGGTGAAACCCTGTCTTTACTAAAAATACAAAAATTAGCCAGGCATAGCATCAGACACCTGTAATCCCAGCTACTGGGGAGGCTGAGGCATGAGAATCTCTAGAACCCGGGAGGCAGAGGTTGCAGTGAGCTGAGATCAGGCTACTACACTACAGCCTGGGCAACAGAGTGAGATTCCATTAAAAAAAAAAAAAGAAACAAAACCATTTCTCCTTCCTTTCTCACGGCATCAGCCAGGTACCAGGAGGCAATCAGATGAGGCACTCTGGCCTCAGCGCCTACAACACACATGGAGGGGAGGGGATGATGTTGTAGCCCAACCAAAAGGAAAGGAAGCCCACGTCTGTTCACATTTATTGAGGGCCTACTGCAGACAAGCACATCCTAAGGTTCTTTTAGTTAAACCTTCCCCAACCTCGTGACAGGGGAAGTGATGCCAAGGTGCACAGCTGGCCAGAGGCTAGCACAGGATTTGAACCCAGAATCTGCTACCTCATTGCAGTTGTTCATACACCTTGCAGGGCACAGAGACCCCTGCAGCAAGTGAGACCCACAGAGCCACCTGCCTTCAAGCCCAAAGAGGGCCCAAGGTCACTTGTGGGAGAGGCTGAGGGTGCACTTGGGAGGAAGCAACATTTAGTTCAGACATTAACTCTGCCCTCACATTGCGGCCACAGGTCCCAAGTCGTTGGCTGTCCTCCTAGATAGTTTTGAGGCTTCACGACTTGCATACGGAGAATGCCTTCTCTGTTGTTTTGGTTTGTTTCATTGTTTTCCTGGCACCTCTTTCCCATCTGAGAAGGAAGGAGGTGACAGAGTGTTCTCGATGCAGCAAAGTTTCCGACCTGACTGTCCAGAGGCTCTAAGTGCATCCCGGAAATAAATACCTACCCTCCCCAAAGGGACAGGCCTCACAGCCTCGGATCGGATTCCTGGGCGAGATCCAGGTCCGCGGAGCGCGGGGAAGCTGTTCTGAGCTGGTGTCGCCGCCGAGAACTGTCCACACCCAGGGGAGGGCGGCAGTACTCGAGGCCAAGGCGAGGCCAGTCGAGGCTCGGCCCCACCTTAGAGTCACCCTGGGCCTGCGGGCAGCAGGAGGTCAGCGGCCGCTGCCCGTCCCCTTCCGGCCCTACCTTTCCCCCAGACAGAGCAGACGCCCAGCGCCACCTACCCCTTTTCCCCGGTGCTGGATGCGGCGCCTGGAGCCCTTCAGTGTTCCCGAACCCCGTGCGCCTCAGGGCCGGCTCTTCCCGAGCCCCGCGCGCCCCAGACCCAGGGCGCCCCGGCGGACTCGGTCCTTCCGCTGCAGCCACCTTCCCTAAAGGCGTCCGTGTGTACTGAGCAGAGAGAACCAAGCGCCCCAGCGGCGATCTTACCTCCAGTAGCCCGGGCCCTGCGACCTGGCGACCGCCGCCCGGGGCCTACGACCCTCCCCGCAGCGAGGAGGCGGGGCGAGCAAGGAGCGCGGCCATTGGCCACCCGGAGGGGCGGGGCTTCCAATCCCCGCGTGATTGGCTGGCGGCTCTGGGGCGGAGCGGCGGGGAAAGGCACTGGGCCTTGGTTTGCGGGTCGAGACACGCTGGACTAGGCTCGCAGAATCGAACTGATTTCCTGCTGGGGGCGCGGGAGAGCGGTTTGTTTTCTTCCCTTGTTCGTCTCGAGCAACTTCCAGGGGAAGTCCAGTGTCCGGCCAGAAACCAGGCAGGCGGCCGGCCTCGGAGTCATTGGCGGGCTGAGAATTCCATCCCCACGCTTCCCAAGTGAAACAGCCCCTCCTCCCGCTGGGAGCTTTGAGGGGCGAGGATATTCGTGTCGTTCTCTCCTGCATGCTCATGGCCTGGCTTACAGTTAAGTGTCCAACAAACGTTGGATGACGCTGAAGTCACGGGGCAAGGATGCCTAGCCAAGAGACGCGCACGCTGGGCCTGTAGGAACGGGAGCGGGCGAGGGAATGCAGGGTGGGTAGGCGCCAGGCAGGCACTCGCCAAATTGGCTGGCAGTCAGGCTGGGTGTGGGTTAAGTGCTGCGTGAGAGCGGCCTCTTCCGCCCAACGGTAGGGGACGGGTACCTCCCGCAGTTCCTGCCTTCTGCTTCGCCCTTCCCCTGCTGGAGCAGAGGCCAGCACTTGTTGAGCACCTACTGTCTTCCAGGCACAAGACTTAAAGCCTTATTCTTTAGAGTTCATTAAATACGCTCACGATAATCAGGTAGAGTAGGTTTATTCTTCCTGTTTTAAAGAGAGTTTAAGAGATTTGGAAAAATGACAGATGTTACTGCAGTTAAACGTATGCTAATCCTTTTTTTTTTTTTTTTTTTTTTGAGACGGAGTTTCGCCCTTGTTACCCAGGCTGGAGTGCAATGGCGCGATCTCGGCTCACCGCAACCTCCGCCTCCTGGGCTCAGGCAATTCTCCTGCCTCAGCCTCCTGAGTAGCTGGGATTACAGGCACGTGCCACCATGCCCAGCTAATTTTTTGCACTTTTAGTAGAGACGGGGTTTCACCATGTTGACCAGGATGGTCTCGATCTCTCGACCTCGTGATCCACCCGCCTTGGCCTCCCAAAGTGCTGGGATTACAGGCTTGAGCCACCACGCCCGGCATGCTAATCCTATGACCCAGCAACTTCGCCCCAGGTATATATTTACCTAGAAACATACACCTAGATAATGTTTGTACTGACTTATTCATGATAGGCAAAATCTGAAAACGCAAATGGTCATCAGCAGGAAAACAGAAAGACAAACTATGGTGTAATCACATCGTGGAATAGTATACGGCAGTGAAAACGAACAAACTATTAACACACAGACATAGGAGGATCTTCCCACAAATGAATGGGCACCAGCTGCTAAACAGTGCTTAGTGAATGGAACCAAACACTAAAGAGCACATTCTGTCTGCTTCCAGTCATTTAAGGTTCAAAAACCGACAAAACTAATCTACTAAGTAGAAATTAAATACTGGTAATTTCTGGGGGATGCCGTCTGGGGGAGGGAAGGGATGCACACCTTTTAGGGAAGTGGAAATATTCTACATCTTGATGTGAGTGGTGGGTACCAGAGCTAAAGCATATGTAAAAATGCATTAGCTGTACACTGAAGGTCATGTGTTACTATATACTGCAATTTTAAAAAAGAAGACTTACAGATGCCTAAGTACAGGCTTGACTCCAAAGCCAGTGTTTTGAGGCAGAGTATCACTCTTGTCAACGAGGCTGGAGTGTAATGGCACAATCTCTGCTCACTGCAACCTCTACTTCCTGGGTTTAAGCAATTCTCCTGCCTCAGCCTCCTGAGTAGCTGAGATTACAGGCCCATGCCACCACCCCCGGCTAATTTTTGTATTTTTAGTAGAGGGGGTGTTTCTCTATGTTAGCCAGGCTGGTCTTGAACTCCCGACCTCAGGTGATCCACGTCCCAAAGCGCTGGGATTACAGGCATGAGCCACCAGGCCCGGCTTAGGTGAAGTTTTTATTACTGTACTTTATAGCCCTGTAGATATTTCACAACCTTCAGCATTTAAAAAGTGTGCTTAATCACATCTAACTGTAATAAACAGCTCTGCCTAGTTTAGCCAAGAGGGCATAAATGTTGATTAGTTCAAGAATCAATCCTGCCTGCTCCCCAACGTGCTCTAGCAGCTTCATATCTCATTCTTTGAGGAAGAACATTGAAAGTGTGGGGGTGGGCTTCCAAATGCGGCTATCACTCCTTTCTTTGCTGAACCTCAAAGGGCATTAAAACAATCCCACTGTCTGACTAGGTGGTTCCCTGTCACCTGTCAACAGCTTTTTTTTTTTTTTTTTTTTGAGACGGAGTCTTGCTCTGTCACCTAGGCTGTAGTACAGTGGCATGATCTCGGCTCACAGCATCCTCCGCCACCTGGGTTCAAGCCATTCCCTTGCCTCAGGGTTTCACCATATTGGCCAGGATGGTCTCGATCTCCTGACCTCATGATCCACCCACCTCAGCCTCCCAAAGTGCTGGGGATTACAGGCGTGTGCCACCATACCAGGCCCTCAACAGCTTTTATAAAAATTTAGACAAAGAACACAACAACATGCTTATGGTATTCCTATCAAAAGCTCATGATCTGAAACTACTCATAGGGAAACAGTAAGCAAACCCCAAATGAGGGACATTTGACAGCTGTCCTGTCCAATACAGTGGCTACTAGCCACATGTAGCTATTTTAATTAAAATTAAGTAATACTTAGAAGCCAGTTTCTGAGCCCCACAAGCCACATTTCAAATGCTATTTTCATGTAGCTAATGGCTTCATAGTGGGCAGCACAAACAACATTTCGATGATTGCTGGAAGTTCTATTGAATAGCACCACTCTGCAGAATAACTCTTCAAAAATTTCAAGGTCAGGAAAGACAAGGAGACTGAGGGACTGCTCCAGAGAAAAGGACACGAAAGTGACATGACAACTGAATGTCATATGGGAACCTGGTTGGATCCTGAAACAGAAAAAGGACATCAGGCAAAATCAGAATAAGGCTTTTGGATTAGTTAACGATAATCTGTCAGTGTTAGGATCATTGCACTGGGTTATGTAAGATGTAAACATTTGCATTATTTCTGCAACTATGTTGTAAATCTGAAATCATTTCAAAATTTTAAAGTAAAATAAATCATCTTTGACCCTATCTGGCTATTTATATTATCTTTTATTTTTTATTGCATCCCCCCCTATTTCATGGGTGTAATTCATTGATCATTGTCCATTTATTAGAAGAGCAAGTCCAGAGAGTGATCTATGCCCTAGGCTGCCCCCAGTGAGGGCTCTGGAGCTGCCCCCTGCCCTCTAAAGCTCATCACAGACAGGCCTATGTCTCCAGGCCTCCCAGGGAGGATGTGACCCATACATGATGACTCAGCAACCACCAGCTCATGTTTCCCCCTAGAGAGCAGAGGTCAGGCCCAAAGATAGTGCCAGAGAGCCCCAAACACGGTCATGTTCTCAGATGTGAGTCCTTCGGGAAACTGAGACTAAAAACATAATCCCCACCTTTATGAATTCATTTTGAGTAATATTTTTAACAGTTATTCTTTATTTTTTATGTATTTATTTATAAAATAAACAAAGGTCTTACTACATTGCTCAGGTTGGTCTTGAACTCCTGGGCTCAAGCAATCCTTCTGTCTAAACTTCTCGAGTAACTAGGACCACAGGCAGACTCCACTGCACTTACACGGCTATTCTTTAAACTGCTGAATTTGTTCAATCTGTCAACTTATTTACATACATACATATATAGTTTTTACAGCTAATGTGGGGAAAACAGAAATATTTGATGAAGAAAACCAAAATCCATATTCATAATGCCACCATCTACAAAGATTAGCCAGGCGTGGGGGCAACATCTGTAACCCCAGCTGCTCAGGAGGCTGAGACAGGAGAATTGCTTGAACTCAGGAGACGGAGGTTACAGCGAGCCAAGATCATACCACTGCACTCTTGCCTGGGTGGCAGAGCAACACTCCATCTCAAAAAAAGGAAAAAAACCATAATGCCACCATCCAGGGGTGACTGCTGGTGACACTCCAGTGACTTTTTTAGTGTTTTTTTTTTTTTTCCTACAATACAGAGTCTCCAAGTCCTCTGGCTTCCTGGGGTCATCCTTGCCTTGACCAGCCATGTGAGATGGTTCCAGCCATGATGTGGGACATAATAGGGTCTGCCATGAGCCTGCCTTACCTCTCAGGGATCTCAGGACAAGGAGGGGGCTTGGCTCACTGCAGCTCCTGGGTCAGTCCCTGCTGCAGCCAGCTACTCCCCCGGGACTGCCTGGCCCTGGAGTTGGCATAGCCCTCTCATCAGGTCTCTGGACGTTGTGTGGCTGGTTGCCTGCCACTGACACAGGCTGCTTGGCAACGACATGCCTTGAGAGTTAGATATAGAGTTTCTAAAATTCACAGGCCTCTCCCAACACAGATTTCTCCCTGGTCACATCCCTCCATACTCCCAGCTTCCTGCCACACTGCTGGTGCCCTGCTTGTTCTCAGCGTCTCTTGCTGTCTCTTGTCCTAGGGCTCCTCTCCCAAAATCAGGTATTCACTGCAGGAAGCGGAAGTCACCCTAGGTACTCTGTGCATGGAAGGGTTTTATTTCTTGAAGCATAATTTACATTCAGAAAAATATATCAATCTTAAGTGTATGACTTGATTCATTTTTGGGGTTTTTTGTTTGTTTGTATTTTGTATTTTACCCTGTCGCCCAGGCTGGAGCGTAATGGCGACATCTCAGCTCACTGCAACCTCCAGCTCCTGGGTTCAAAGGATTCTCCTGCCACAGCCTCTTAAGTAGCTGGGACTACAGGTGTGCACCACCGTTCCCAGCTAATTTTTGTTGTTGTTGTTGTTTTTTGTAAAGACATGGTTTCACCATGGTAGCTAGGTTGGTCTTGAACTCCTGACCTCAGCTGATCCACCCGCCTCAGCTGCCCAAAGTGCTAGGACTACATGCATGAG